CACCTAACCCTAACCCTAACCCTAACCCTAACCCTAACCCTAACCCTAACCCTAACCCTAACCTAACCCTAACCCTAACCCTAACCCTAACCCTAACCCTAACCCTAACCCTAACCCTAACCCTAACCCTAACCCTAACCCTAACCCTAACCCTAACCCTAACCCTAACCCTAACCCTAACCCTAACCCTAACCCTAACCCTAACCCTAACCTCCCGTGTGATGAATCCCTTTAGCAGCGTTCGAATAGGGGACTTCACCCACACTTTATACAGTTCTTCTCGCATGTTTGCACTAGGCGTCGTCCGATCTCTCTCCAGCTCACACTGCCCATCATGAACAGCATACCAGTCCGTGTAGACTTCCTCCTCCAACAAATCCCTGATGCCTGTTCGGTGCTCAATGGGAGAACTAGCATTCGGTGAAAGAATGTGATGTAGCATGATGCTATAGACAAGTTCGATGCGACGGGCCGTCGAGAAAAAGTTCCACAGGACGCCATGGACGCCCAGACCCTCCTCTTCTGGATCACCGCCGATAAAGTCAACCAGATGGTTGCGGCGAAAGGTCGCGGTTCGCCTGTTGGCCGGGCAACGTTCAATGGTGAACATATACCCAGCGATGCGAGAAAGGCGTTCGGACATTGACCAGGATGTGGAAGCTGCCATGGATATTGTACTGCTCTTGGGACTGTAGGCTCCTGGCGGTGTGTGGTTGTTGGTGGGCTTATTGTGCTTGCCCTTTTTCTTGTGATTATGTTGCTGGCGATGACGGGGAGACGAATTGTTGGACATTGGAGAAAATAATAAAGGTGTTTGGAGGGGGTGCTGTTTGGTAGGGCTACTCTTTGTACGTGCCTGCAAAGGACGCAAATTGGCAATGTCAGAGCAGCGGCAAAGCAGAGAAACCTAACTACACACCTTTACTTCCATCTTTAACCTCACTTTTTCCGCTTCTCGACATAAAGCATCGAATGGCGCCATGATTTTAACAAAGCGCTCCTCCTCCTGAAAACTCTCCCAATCCACTTCCAACTCGACAAACAAGTTGGCGCGTAGCATCTGCCGGGTATATAAGCCACGAAGTTCGGATGACGACAAGGCATGGCGGTGTCGGTGTTCGTAATGATAACGATGCCTTTGGCTGTGATGCGAGGAAACTGTAGATGAATGAGAGTGGAGATGATGAGCCCGATATTTCAGAATGCGTCCCAGTGCGTCGAGGAATTGGCAAATACGATGCGGGTGAGAGCGTCGGCATGCGGACGTTGTGCTGAGGTTCAACAGAACAGAATAAATGTTGTGGTATTGACCGGCATCCTAACTTTGCATGATCTTACCAAAATGCCCAAGTGCGTCTTCAAGGCCAACCCTATCCCCTCTCTCCTCCTTCCACGCTACAATGTCATCAAAAAGCTCGACATCATCCACATACATTAACAATATGACCCGTGCTCCAATGGTCCGGGTCACAATGTCCTCATACCCAGGCCCCGATAGTTCAAGCATGATAGGAAGCCTCGCACGTTCCAACGTGGGAACGCTCACTTCAGAATCTGAATCACTCCCAGATGATGGTGGCCGCGTTGGGGGACGAGGAGTGTGATGGCGAGGGTAGACACGAGAGGAAAATGTTTCGGATTTCGGGAGAGAGTCGGCGCTGCTGGAGGCATAGGAAAAGCGCAGAGTCGTCGGGTCCGGTGCCTCGGCCTGCAGTTGGGATAAATTATCTTGCCTGAGCTGGTGCGGGGACGCTGCTAGATGTCGGCGTTGATGGGGGGGCGTTTGTGTATGTCCTCTGTTCGACTTGCAGCATGGGCCAAAGATATATTTGAACGGGTGAGCGGGCACACGAAGGCTCCTGCTGCCGAGGGTATACTGGAGATGTGCCACCCGCTGGTTGGAATACGGTAGCGGCATGACTACTTCCCTTGCTCAACCCTCTTTGATCGATGCTTTCGCGTTCAATGGGCGTGCTATGTCCACCCTTTTGTCGATGATGCTTGCTTTCTCGAACTGCTAATTCGTCATCTCCCGATCCTCCTACATATCTACCCTCCCTGAATAGATCGCGATTCGCTGATTTTTTTCTTCGACTCTTTTCTACCTCTCCCGTCTCAGCAAATCGGGTTGCAGCAAGGACAAAATTGGAATCCAGAGCATGAGCAGTTCCCGATCGGCCAGTGTGTCTGTGACGTTGTCGATGGGGATGATGAGCTCGTGCTGGAGTCTGAAGGATGGGATCAGAAAACAAGAACATAATGTGATGATTCTTATTCATGGGTCCATATATTCGTTATTAGCTTTACCTCTGTCGTCGTGGATGGGAGCGAATCAGTTTCGTGCTGCCTGACTGGCGACTCGTTCTGATGGCCTGCTGCAGACATGCTCTACCGTGCACACTGGCGCATGATGGATAAAGAGCTTTAGAAAACGAGACCAAGTGGAAGACTTGCTGAGGACCCCAAGCCGTTTGCAAGTTGCTGCGCAATGGGAGTTTCCGTATGGAATGGTTCCAAAATAACGAAACACTTGGAAGGAAAAGTGGGAAATTTTGCGAAAAAAGTTGTACCCGCTCTCTGAACAGCAATTGCATTGCAACTCTTTTTTTGTTTACACTTGGGGATGATCATCACATCTGCAAATGCTTGGGAATGTTGAAAGCTTGCAATAATAATAATAATCACTCTTTTGAAATGTCATTCCCTACGATTCTTGTCAGCACATAAGTGTGTGGGAAAATAGAAATGTCAGTGCCACGGAGCATCGCAGCCAGTTGAATTAACCACATTTATTGTGAACCTCACGAAGATAAACAAAAAAACGGGTCCAATACGTGCGGCAACGAACTGAATATTCTGCAGTTGCTCCACCATTGAAAAACGGGTCCAATGCGCAGTTGTCATATTTCTATATAAACCTGCCTTCCCTGCCCATTTCCCAGGTTTTCATCCATTTTTCTATTCCAATCATCATGCTGCCAAAGAAAAAGCAAAAGCTTGAAAAACTTGACAAACCCACCTTACATACCTGCAACAAAACTTCCTTTGCAAAAGCTTTCCTGCCAAATGAGATCTACCACCAATGGCTTCTAGATTACATCACCATCATCCATCAACTCGCTGACCACACTTCCCACGTGCTGAAATTCTACATCCTATCTGCACCATCCTTTCCCATGGTAGATCAAGATACAATCGAAGTGATTCTCTATCTTCTCAACAAAGGTGAATCATGGCAACCAAAAACCGGTGCAAAAAAGGCATTATGCAAATCCTTGTTGCCATACATCCAACAGTACTGCCACATTGTTGGCTATGTTCATCCAAATCTACAAAAAGAGCAGCAGTCAATCAATTACCTGACAGCAAGTATGATGACAAACCTGAAGGTCAACATTCAAGAACATTTCATGATGATGCTGCTCCAATATATCAATCTGTGGCTTGACGTGAAGGGACGGAAAGGGCAGCTGCCACTGAAAAGTGATGCGCAGAAAGCTTTCTTTACTCGGCTATGCTATTTAAAGTCAGTTTTCCTTTTCGAAACCATGCCAGAATTGCTGGATGACTTGACTGCTGAAGAGAGTGAACTTCTAGAAGAGATTTGGTCCCTTAACATTCCCCTTTCTGATGACCAGCCACTCGCATATTCCATTGCTGTAGACCCTCTCGCGTTCTTTCCTGCATACTGTCAGGTGTCAAGCCTATATGAAAAGCATGGATTTCGATGGTTCAGCGCCATCCCACTTTGCTGCTCCCTCATCCAAAGCCATGTGTGGATTGACACTGTCATCCTCTACTCTCATGTTCTTTGCATCACATGACAAGAAGCAGAAGCTGTAGAGAAGGTCGATTTATGGTTGTGCATCTGCAATCTACGTACCAAAGCTTTTCAGTCTCACCATGGTATGCAGTTTGAAGGCTCGATCACGACAGATGGAACCTTGGTATCTGTATACCTAAAGCACCCAGAAGGAGACAAGTATGGAAAGCATGGAGCGAGAAAGTCAGCAAACATGGTGGTGGCAGAGGTCAAAGTGCTTTATGTGGAGAACAACTTACCTGCTTGTTGAGCAGCAGAGAATGTCATCATTATTGACCCAAACAAGTGTGACATTCTGTACTGCCAAGACAGCAATGGTACGACATTTTGCTACACCACCAACCAGCGAGCCGTGGAGACTGGAAGCCATCGATTTGCAAAAGAACTGCAGCAGATGAAGAAAGCGGGAATTGACCTCATAGAATCATGTATCCCTAGCCACAAAACAATGAACCTCATGGATTTTACTCACTATCTCCTCATTCGGCGCACTGATTCAGATCATCGAAAGGACTTCTATTCGCATCCTGCCCACACGCGGTGGAAGTGGCATGCATTTATAAACCATCAGAAGAGTGAATCGAACCTCATATCTGACTTGCGCAACAAGTATGGTGAAAACTTTACCATTGTGATGGGAGATTGGAGCGATGCCGGTCAAACTGCAAGATTTCAGACCTCATCAAAGACGAAAGGTTGGCATGCCCTCTTTACGTGCAACAGGATCAACTGCTTCCTTCTCGACAAGTATAAAACCTCATCTGTCTGCCCTCACTGTTCCTCTGGCGTTGAAAAAGGCTTCAAAACACGACCTCATTCAAGACCTTGGCAGCGAGGCAAGATTGAAAAAGTCCACGGATTGCTGGGTTGTACCAACCCTAACTGTTTGCAGCAAGCCTGGACAATGCGCTACTGGAATCGAGATACGCTGAGCACCTGCAATATGGTAACGATCGTGCAATCAATGTTGGCTGGACATGGTAGACCAGACGTGTTCAGCAGGCAGTGTTCCAGCCGTAGCGTAGCATAGATTGGTTAGATTAGCTTTTCCGAACCGGTTGTCGCCGGTTTATTCCCTGGTGTGGAGGCACTGACATTTGTTTTTGCTAATACACTAAGTGTCTGTCCCTGATACGCTTTCTTGCGATTTCCCACAAGTAGTCCGTTGAAAGAGATTTCTTCCTCTTTGTAATCTCTCTCTCTCTCTCTCTCTTCCCTCTCTTTTCCCAAACCTCCTCCCACTCTCCTCCAGTCTCATCTTCCAGTGCAACTTAGCTAAATTCCCATTCAAAAAAAACACCCATATCAAAAACTAAAGCCCCAGTAGGAAATCGCGCAATCTTCTCTTTTGGCCATAAATGGAAATTTCCGGTTGGATTTTTGGATGGGGTTCTCACATAATGTGACGTTTTTCCCTCTCTTGGTTGCTGCCACCGCTGCCTTTTATTACTTGTCAGTTTGCTCTGTCTTTTGCTCTGGTTATTTCCCACACACACACGCACTTGTCGTTATCTTTTGTCAAGGACCTCATTGCAAACGCGCTTGCCCTTCATTTGAGAATTGGTTCTGGTCTCATCTACTGATCGCTCTCAGGCAAATCCCCTGCATATTGAAGTTTGGCTACTAGAGGAGGGGTTTACCCAGTGACGACACATAAAGCAAAAAGGGGAGAACAAGGAACAAGCTCTCGAAACTTGGGTATGCGTGAGAAAAAGACTGTCAAAACGAATTCGACAGCTTTCCCAGGATACTGATAAAATGCCGCTTACAGGAAGAAACAGCCACCCACAGTTACTCCACCCATCGGTGTCGCTCGATCCGGTCCCCCTTTTATCCCGCACCATTGTTCCTTCACCGGTACGAGTCCAAGACGCCGCGTACGATACTCGAACTGTCCTATTCCTTTGAGTCGGGTATGTGCAATTGGAGTGCAGTCAACCTTAATAGGTTCACTTTCTCACCTTCATTTTTGCAAACGTGAAACAGGGCCATCGCACCTGCGCTCCCAAATGCCCCGCCCACAAACTATCCACGAAGCATCGCTTGGAAGAAGCTCGAGACCGTCTACGCCGTCCGGGCCTCCAAGCCGCCACTCAACTTACGCGTCGGCCCTACGATCTCGCACGCACAGCTACCGCAATACTCCTGGAGGGAATACACCGGAAATTGGGGAGCAAGGGGAAGCATGGGACGGAGATCCTGATCGGACCCAGTTCAGACACACTGGGGACTTTTCTGCCATTCCTCCAAGTAGTCACGATGATGTTCATGAAGACTGGGAGGAAGGGCACGAATCACCAGAGGGACATGACTCTGGGAATGGATCGGGAGGCGAGGGCCAAGAGTCGGATGGAGAAGCGCGGCGGTTGAGAGACGTTCAAGAGGTCAGTTTTCTTTTTGCTCGAGATGCTGAAATTGCTAACGTTGGTATGAACTGACAATGGTACCTTCAGGCTATCAATGTAAGTCATCCGTTCGGTCTCAGAATATGGAAGCCGGCCTTGTATCGGAAATTCCGTAGTATCGATACCAAAACGTACAATGCACTGCATGCTACACCTGGCGAAAGACCGACGCGTACACTTTACCTCAATCCGGGAAATATACTGTGGTTGATCCTTTTTGGCTGGTGGCTCGCTCTCGTGTACTTCCTGGTGGCGACAGTTGTGCTGGGTCCCCTGGCTTTTCTTGGAAAGGTCGGAGCCACGATATACTTTTGTGGGAACGAGCGTGAGGAAATAGAATGTGGCCTTACGAGCTGTGTTGGATGGTTCTTCATTGAGCTGGAAAATATCTGGCAGTACTCAAAAGTACGTCCTCTGCACAGTGTTTCAGTAGCCTTTCTGCCCCTCTAACATCTGATGCACATGGTAGGTCTTAATGAATCTTTCCGGATATATCCTGTGGCCTTTTGGCAAGTTCATTGCGAAGCGCCGAGTCTATCACATGGTCTTCCAGGAGGATCATGATGGGACGGCAAATGGCGTATCAAATGAGCGGACGGCACTGTTGTCTGATCACGATGGACAGCGATATTCGGAAGATACCTATGTTGTTGGCATACCCGATGATAGCGTTCCCGCAACGCCAGTGCCAGAACCTGCGTCATCAGCGGATAGACAAGACTTAAAGGTTGCGGCTTGCTGTGACAATGAGGCCAACGCAGAAAATATGAGCGAAGTTTCCGAAGAATCTTGGCATGAATTTATGTCGTCGAGTCGCAGGTACAGCTACGCGAACGGACATCATCATCGTTGGCCAAAATGGGTTCCGCGATGGATTAGAAGAGCGTACAATGCTGGACTGGCAGGAAACTTATTCCGGCTGCTGCTCCTTATAACCATCGCACCTTTGCAGTTCGTCGTGGCTTGCATGTGCTCCTTTCTCGTCTTTCCACTGCCAATGGCCAAGCTGAATTACGTCCTCTTGAAGCATCTTTTCCGACACCCACTGCAGATCTCTGCCCACACTCCTGTGTACTCCAAGAGACCCAGCACTCGTCCCTCCAGAAGCGCTAGCCTGGCATCTCGCGCATCGGATATTTGGCGAAGGTCGAGTCGCATGTTTGGGCGGCCCACAAGCATATTTTCCGAGTCGGCCGAGCCCATTGCTATTCCTACCACGTTAGGAACCCCGACGCAGATGCCAAGTGGTGCTGTGGCTCAAGGTCCCCAGCTGGCTCCCGAATTCCAAGTGATTCTGTGCACTTATAATGCTCTTGGATGGGATTACTACAAGTACACGTATGACGGGATCAACATCATTGTTATCAATTTGATAGCAGTCGTCATTTTCGCGCTGGTAGATTTTTACGTGATCGGTCCACGCTTTGGTTACACCGGAATTGCAAGTAACACTGTTATTTTCGTGGCGTCGCTCATCAGTTCGATTCCTTTGGCGTACTTTATCGGAATGGCCGTTGCGTCGATTACGTCTGAAACAGGGTCTTTGGCTGTGGGAGCGGTGATCAATGCCACTTTTGGATCCATCATCGAAATCATTCTGTACTCGCTCGCACTGGTGGAGGGCAAACAGCGCATGGTCGAAGGTGCCATAGTGGGATCTTTACTGGCTGGCTTGTTGGCCTTACCTGGTGTGTCAATGTTCTTTGGTGGATTGAAGAAGAAGGAGCAACGGTTCAACGCAAAAGCTGCTGGTGTGACAGCCACCATGTTGATCGTAGCAGTTGTTGGGATGTTTACGCCTACCTTATTCCAAGAAGTGTATGGAACGCAGAAGCTAAAGTGCCTAGAGTGTCCGACAACTGTGGATCAGCATTCAATGACTCCCCTCGGACTCGCGCTATCTTGTAAACATTGTCGTCTGATTAGCCCGCGCCCTTCGGAGGACCCGATTTACTTGACCAGTACGAGGCCGCTGGCATGGCTGTGTGCTGCTGCATTACTTTTGATGTATGCAGTCGGACTGCTATTCACATTGAGGACCCACTCACGTGTGATTTATGACAAACCCGACAAAAAGGTGAAGAGAAGGCGGAGGGCGGCTGCTGTATCCAGGGCATTGGACTTGGCAAAGAGCGACCATCATCATGGAATTCGTGCTATTGGAGGATTAGGAATAACAAATGATTATGGAGCAGAGGCTGCAGATCGAGAATTGCGTGAATCAAGAAACCCGAGAACCTCGGCAGCTGGTAATATTGGACAAGGACACGGGAAACGGGTATCACGAGTTAGCAACGCGGCCTCTATTCCCCCGAATGAATATCCCTTTCCTAACGTTCCACTAACGATCGAAACTTCCACCGGTTCCCGACCAGTGAGTCTTACAACCCCCACAACACCCATCTCGCCGTCCCTCCCGCCCTGCCGCGGAATTCAAACGACATCTGGTGTCGTTCAGGTCGTTCACCCCGATCCTGTTGTTTCAGTGATCGGTGGGGATGATTGGGATACGGCCTCAACAGGGTCATCCGAGTCTGATGAATCGGAAGCCCACGGACATGACCATCCAAACTGGAGTATTTTTAAAAGCGCTCTGGTTCTACTCGGGTGTACGACATTGTATTCGCTTGTGGCGGAAGTTTTGATCAGCTCCGTGGATGAGGTTATTGAAGCGTATGATATTGATGAGAAGGTTCTCGGTGCAACATTGTTCTCGATTGTACCGCTTGTTACAGAATTTTGTGAGTATCATTGTGAGCATTTTGTGGTGTTAAGTAATCATATCTCATTATTCTCTTTTCAGACAATGCTATCGCTTTCGCCATGAACGGCAACATTGCGCTCTCCCTTGAGATCGGCTCCGCCTATGTTATGCAAGCCGCCATGCTCCAGATCCCAGTCATGGTTGCCTTCTCCTCGTTGTTCTTTAAGCCTAGTCCAGCTGATCCCCCCAGTTTACCCACGTCCCCTCTCACTAAGCTTTACGCCTTGTTCTCTACCCCCACGACACCCTCCACCAGTACGAGCATAGATGGCTTCACCATGATCTTCCCGCGATGGGACTTGTACGCTGTGCTATTTGGCACCTTTATGTTGACATACGTCTACACGGAGGGTAAGAGCAATTACTTTAAGGGAAGTATGTTACTGGTAGCCTATTTCATTCTTTTGGCTGGGTATGTATTTGAGCCGGGGGACTCGGGTTGGGGAGAGGCAGTATAGTTGGCATGTCTGATTTTGTCATGATTTGAGTCATGGTTGCTTTTTTTTGCGGTATTTGGACAGGTGGTTCTCAGTTAATAGGGATTCGTAGGATTTAGTTAGGTTGGGGCGGATATACCTTTTGTGCAGGTTGGGATCATTTTCTGTTGTAATTGGGGTGTGATGCCGGAGCCGGCATATTGTTGGAAGTTGTAATATTTTGACGCAAGGAACCATTTAAGATATGGCCCTTCGAGATTATAGAATTCCAGTTATTGAATCGACCGGCGAGACGCGCGGCTAAACCCCTGTGCAACGTCATTGGCTCATCATGCGGGCTATCATGCAGGTCATCATGCAGGTCATCATCGATCTTGGCTCCTGCTGTGCTGCATTTGAGGGTCCTGGTAGTCAACATGACAGGTTATCAAATGGGTCGGGTATATAAGAAGAACAGAGGGTTGAGTCTACATGCACAAGTTTGGTTTTAGTTTTAACCTGTATGAGAATCTCTATGTAATAGTGCACGATGGACATGGACGGATCCTTCTTGATTTGTTTATTGGTTGCTCTGATAACTCTTTTGGTCACCCCTGGTACAAGCACCCCGCTTCACAAACGCCAATTGCCCGTTCCGAGTTCCTATGCTCCAAACTACACTGAATGCCCTTCGGGTTCGATTATCCGATCGGGCGTCAGCGTGAGCAATGAAGAAAGGCAGTGGGTACAAAAGAGGGATACGGTTATGTCAGAGTTGTGGCGAGCAAGGAATGTGAGTGGGGTAGTGCCCAGAGTCGGGATTGCTATTAGTGGTGGTGGGTACAGGTACGTACTTTGACGGAATTAGGGCGAAGAGAAATGAATATTACTCAACCTTAACTTACTGAGCAGAGCTATGTTATATGGTGCATCCATCATCTCTGCCATGTCCAGTACAACACCCAACAACACCTCTCCTGCAGCAGGAATTTTCGAGCTATCCACATACCTGAGTGGGCTATCCGGCGGATCATGGCTCGTGTCTTCACTCTACAGCACCTCTCCATTCCCAACGCTCACTCCTCAAAATCTTTCGCACATCTGGTCACTCCAAGTCAATCTCCTTCGTCCTACCAGTGGGCTCATAGACACTACGGAGGTCTATAGAGACATTTCAAAAGACGTCGACGACAAGTACAATGCCGGGTTTCCTGTATCGATTACAGATGTATGGGGACGACTGGTGGGCTTGCATTTGAACCCCGGGGGTGAGCAAGAAGCTGCCGAGGCAGACATCAAGGATACGCCGCTGTGGTCGAGTGTGGTCAGCGCAAACGAGTTTGGCGCTGCTCAGATACCATATCCAGTTATTACCACAGTGCAGAGGAGTGAAGGCGAGGCCCATGTCACCGTCATGGCAAATATTGTGAGTTTCAATTCAGTGGAATCTGTACCTGATGGGTCTCATGATATGCTTGCTTAATTATTTGGTGGTTTTTATTTGTAGTGGGAGTTCAACGTTTATGAGACCGGCTCGTATGATGATTCCATAAAGTCTTTCATTCAGACAAAATATCTTGGCACGTATCTTTCAAATGGTACTGCCCAGCATCGCCCAGAAAACACTGATACCAGGCGCAATACCAGGTACAATGCTTCATGTAGTTGGCCTGCTTTCAATTGCACTCGTAAATCAAACATCCTTTTACCAGCATCACCCGCCAACCCCCTTGCGTGACAAGCTTTGACCAAACTGGTTTCTTAGCCGGCACATCCTCCTCTCTCTTCAACGTGGAAGTAGCGGGTCTTGGTTTCATTATCGAAACCTTGAGCGGCATTCTTTCTTCCCGTGGTATAGACACAGCATTGATTCCCAATCCCTTTGCATCACTCCCAACAGTAAATGGATCCATCGCTACGCCCACCCAACTCGAACTGGTCGACGGAGGCGAGGGAGGACAAAACATACCGTTATGGCCCTTAGTCATTCCCGATCGTTCCGTGGATCTCATATTTGCCGTGGATTCGTCCAATGATGGAGCAGGTTATCCCAACGGGACCAGTCTGATTATTACCAAGCAATACGCCGGATGGAAGGGCGTGGATACGTGGTTCCCACCTGTACCGTCCACCCCAGAGGCTTTTATTGCCCAGGGTTTACATCGAAAGATGACGGTTTTCGGTTGCGCTGGGTTAGCAAACAATGGAGGTGGTGGTGGGAATTATACTGGCCCAATGGTCATTTACGTTCCAAACCGAGAGGTAACATACGCAACCAACCACTCGACCTTTAAACTCGAGTACACCATGGACGAAATAACTGGCTACTTTACGAACGGCGCAGCTCTGATGAGCGATAACCCGTCCAACGCTACCGCACCTCCGTGGTCTACCTGTCTCCCCTGCATCCTATCCGCTCCACTTTACCGTAACGGCTCAGCAACGCCTTCCCAAGACTGCCAAACGTGCCTTAAGGCCCATTGTTGGGACGGAAGTGAGACGGGTACACCCCCTGGTGCGGGGATGGGCCCCCCAGCTACGAGGGGATACACGGGCCAAGGGCCACCGCCGAGCATTCCGTTTGTGACAGCTGACAATGAGGGAACTGCAAATGCGGGAACGCGTAGGATGGCGGGTGGGAGGTGGTGGTCTGTGGGATTTGTGGTAGGGGTTATCGCGACCTTCCTTATGTGATCGGATGTGCACCTCGGACACTGGAATATAAGTATCTATAAAATAATGGTGCGCTGAAAATGAAATGTTTTTAACCCAAATGTACGTAGCTCACATTGAAGGAAGGAATTCATTGCAAGTAACAAAGTAACAATCTAGACACGCTGATAATAAGGTGTGCTGTAAATTTTTCCAAGGCCGCGTGGCGCAATGGACTAGCGTATTGGACTTCGGATCCAAAGGTTGCGGGTTCGAGTCCCGTCGTGGTCGTTCGGGTCCCCTTTAATAATCTTTTTTTTCATTTCGACCTTTTTCCTGTGTTGCCCTACGATGGCTACTGTCCCTAGGATGAGATCTTGGGTGTCTTCATCCTGGCAGCCCTTGGTTTACCAGCGGAATTTGTCGTGTCAACAGGCTTTACATCTGTATTACGTGAATGAAAGACAGTGTTGGTAAACGTATCATAGAATCGGCTAGAGACGGTTTCCAAGTAAAAGTCAAAAGAATACATTTAACTGACTACGTTTCTAGTCGACTTATTTTCTTTCGTCTCATGTATTAATAAATTGTGCAACTTGGTATTCGAATAGGTTGTATTGCTTCTAACCAAGATAAATACAATTGGAAAATGCCACGATGACATCACCACGCCGATGGAATGGAAAATCTCGCATAACCTTCCTGCAGCTACCAACTAGCACGCGACGTTTCACATGGCATATCTATAAGGTTATTCATGTATCAAACGCAATTAAAATCTCTTTATACGGACTGCGCCATTTAAACTATTAACGTAGATGGGGAAGAATTAATTTCCGGAATATATACAGCATCAGTGTGTGGCAAAAGAATGCATGATGGAATGAGGTACGACTTGTAAGCATTGGAAGGTAAGGATCAGCGTGAATACGAATTCTCTAGATCAGTAGTCGATTGCCCAGCCGTTTCTGTCGAGATGGAAAGGTCAAGGACTACTCATAGTTAAAAGTGCGATTGGAGACCAGCTTACTTGTCCAAAAAGTCCCCAATTGCCTCTATTACAAGTGAAGATTAATCTTGAGTCCACAATGCTCATCTTTGTATTGCAGCTGCACCTACCTTTCAATGCCAAATTGGGTATCAAATCCTTTTCAGTCATCGGGTGTCGGCTCAACGGATCAAACTGCCCAATCTTTCGTAAATGTGAAACAATCTCTGGTCGATCGTATGTTATCCCGCTGGGCGTAATGACGGGGTCCGTCATGATTTCGAATGAGATCTAGAGGCATGTTAGAGCATATCACTACGATGCATTTCAGGTTTTGTATGTACCTTTCCGGTGTAGTAATCAGGCACTTCGCGTTTCTGTACTCGTAAGGATGAGAATACGCTTCTGCTGTAAGAACCGGGATAGTCGGCTAACCTTTGCTGTTTCATCAGCTTTAGTGAACAAAGCTGTTATTTCAGACAAGCGGTTGTCCTGTTCCGAACACGCGATCAGAGTCAGCCAGAACGCCAAACTCGACTCTACATTCCCAAAACTTACAAATTGACTGGACATCGCCTCCTTCTCCGCATCGTCAGCTGAATCCAACTGTTCTAATTGTCTACGGCACACTTCAGAGTTTGTCACCTAAGAAGACCTGCGCCAGTATGACTTACCTTCGTCGATCCCTCTCCACAAGATCTGTGAGATATCGGTATAGTTCTGATTCCGACTCTCGTCGTTTCTTATCAGTCAACTCCCATTTCCTTTTCTTGGCCTCACGGAGCTTTTCAGCGATCTCTTCTGAATAGCCTACACGCTGTTCAATGGACAGTTTGTATGCTACGGAAGGGAATCGGGTTAGGAGTCGTAGTGATCTCAGATCAAACGTCGACGGTAGAGAGTACAGGTACGTGGAAACTAACCTTTGGTGAGGGCGTGAATGGCACCTTCCAGGCGAGTATCGATGGCTGATAATGCTTGTCCCAGCTAGATGAATTTCTTGCGTCAGAGAAAGCCACACCAGTTCATGGTCAACTCCACATACCAAATAGTGCCCCTTCACTGTCAGCAAAATCAAGGCAACGGTCATCACAATTGTCATGCACAAAGGCGTTGGACCATTTCATTCGTACCCAATTTTGGATCTATCTCGATAGCCTTTTCCGCATCTGTTATTGCTCTCTCATACTGCTCTAACCGGAGAAAACATAGCGCTCGATTTGTATAGTAGGTGGGAATGGTCGGATTATGTATCTGCAACAAAAAAGGGCGAAAGCAGAGTGTTAGGATCATGAGCGTCAGATGTACGATGGTTCAAGATTAGGCGAATCAAGAGTATCTCAACACATACGATCGCCACAGGGAACGGAAGGCAGCTCCCTAAGCTCCTTAGCCACTAGCATTCCATACCGCATGAACAGGACACCTACTATAGCCTTGCCATATTCCCGTATCGCATCGTCATACAGGTGCTGTCCAAAATAGACATTGCCTTGCAGCTTGTGTGATTCAGCTTGAGACATCTCGGACAGGCCAGAGTCGGATGGGGTGGATTACCCGTTGAAAGATAGTAAATATCTATTGACAAATGACAAACCCTAAATCTGTGAATCTAACTGCTATCTAGGATTTGAAGCTAGCCAAACGCCTCACCCCGGTACTCGGGCTGTGGCACAGCTAGGAATTGCGTGATCAACTTTATTTTTAGAACACTACCAGATGACAAATCAGGAACACCTTTTTCTGCGTGAAGCACCTTCGGACAGACATGCAATAGACTTGCTGGCAAAAGCCCATTATCATTTTTGAATAAAGGATAAAATGGAGAGATTGTTCATAGCGTTGGGAAATGGTCCTTTAGCAACTGAATTAATGCTAATTGGGAACTATATTGGATTTGCTGCGGAATGTAAATTTGTTAAGACATGACACCTGTATAATCCGTCGTATGATCGACTTGCTCAATGGATAATAATGCTAGAAGCAACATGTCGGTGGTTGGATCCCATTTTGCGGATAAAAAAGATGAGTGTTAATCAGTTGAAAGAACCCTTGGTACGTGGGTTAGTCACACGTTCGGATTCCGATGTCCGCGGAACGATCGAATTCCGAGAATTGGACCATAGCCAAAAAAAAGTTATTGTTGATGAGCGAGATTTGACGTCGATTTCCCTTTGTTTAAAAACTGAGGGATGCGATCAGATCCCTTTCACACCCACTCACCCCCACCTATTGGCTGGCATTTGTCGAGCCTTTGGGCAAGGCAACATTTCCCCTTAATCCCCGTAACAGTCCGTCCTTGTTATTATCTTTATTTACGCATCTCATCATTTTGCATCGTACATCTCCTAATCAAATATCGACAAAAATGTCCAACGCGGACCTCCCTCACATTAGCCAAGATGCTGGTGAAGACGGAACACCTTTGGTCAGAACAAACACAACTGGCCGTGTCATTTGGCAGGGACGCCTGTCCGGTGAACAGGCACGTCCACTAGACGCCCCAGACGAAATCGTGGTCGGGTTGCCGTCGCAAACGTCCGAAAGTCAGGCAGGACAAAGTCCACCACAGGAACCCGAACCAAACCTGGAGAGCGTGATAGAAGTTCGAGAAACGTCCGCGAATGATACTCATGATGCGCGGCCGCCTCAACCGGACCGTGTTCAAAGCTTGACGTCGTACCAGCGTGAAATGGCTTTTGGTGAGCCATTGGCTGTAAAGAAATATGTCAAGGGCGAAGCTGGCGAAATATTCGAAGAGGTGTCGGATGATGAGGAAGAAACCGATGAAGGTATCGTGGCGGACGCGCCGTACAAAGTTGAAGATCATGATGTGCCAATGAACGACATTTCCAAGAAGAAATCTCGGTCGTCGCTGGCGAGTGGAAAGAGTGGAAAAAGAAGAAAGGGTGGAGTCGACCCTCGCAAAGACGATTTCGATTTCGAAGCTTGGTTACATTATCGTCAGAAGAAATACAATGAAGCGGGCTTTATTGTACCGGAAGTCATCCTCACCTACAAGGACCTGGCCGTGTTTGGAGATCCTGTTGTCCAGCCATATATCGAGACAGTAGGAAAAGCGATCCTGAATACGATCAATATAGTGCCCCCTATCCGCCGAATGACTAGGTCTCTGGCAGGCAATCCACTGCCAAAACCCGAGAACAGACAGATACTATACCCAATGAACGGATTCTGCAAACCAGGCGAAATGACACTGGTCCTCGGTCGTCCGGGCGCAGGCTGCTCAACACTCCTTCGCACGTTGGCCAATGTTACGGAGGGCTTGTCTGAAGTGAGGGGAGACGTGGCATTCAACGGGATCGACAACAAGACGTTCAAAAAACAGTATAGTTCCTCAGTTGCCTACAACCCCGAAACCGATCCTCACTTTGCAAGCTTAACTGTGCGCCAGACACTGCGGTTTGCGCTCGAATGCCGAATCGGCGGTGCTGTAGAGGAACGAAGACGAGAGCGTATTGAAGAGTGGATCGATGTGTGTGTGAGAGTGTTTGGACTGCAGAATTGCGCAGATACGAAAGTCGGGGATGAAATGATTCGAGGTTGTTCTGGTGGTGAAAAGAAGCGCGTGTCCATCGCCGAGCAGTTGTGTGTGGCTGCCTCAATGGGATTCTGGGATGGTTCAACCAAAGGTCTTGATTCGTCTTCCGCTCTCGACTTTGTGCGCGCTCTCCGGGTCCTGACGGATATTACCCAAACGGGCAATGTCTTGTCACTATATCAAGCATCTCAAGACATTTATGATCTGTTCGACAAGGTGTGCTTGATCGCCGATGGTCGATGCATCTACTTTGGCCCTGCCAAGGATGCCAAGCCCTACTTTGAATCCATTGGATTCTTCTGCCCCAAACGAAAGGTAACGCCAGACTTTTTAACTGGTATTACCGAACCGATGGAGAGGGATGTGCAAAAGGGCTGGGAAAGTAAAGTACCCAATACTACTGAAGAGTTTGAAGCGATGTTCCGTCAAAGCGATGTGTTTAGAAGAATGGAAAAGGACCGGGAGGCTTTGTTGAATGATGTCAAGGTTGGAAGACGTGGGTCGATCTTCGGAAAGCAGGTGCTATCGAACAAGCAAGTACTCGGTCGAGATGACTTGCTTAAGACACAGTACACGACGTCGTTGTGGCAACAGATCAAGGCCAATTTCAAGCGTGAAGTTAACCTGCAGAAGGGTAACGTCGCATTGATCGGCCGTGTGTTCTTTGATACCTTCATGGCGGTGGGTGCAAGAGGCGTATATCCGCTGCTATTCGTGGTTCATTACTGACAAGCCTGCGCAGATTATCATCGGTTCAGCATTCTTCCAACTCGAACCTAACGTCTCCGGTGCTTTCTCACGAGGTGGTGTACTCTTCTTCGCCCTACTGTACAACTGCTTCGGTGCCCTCGCGTCTGTTCCGCTGGTGATCCAAGGACGTGCTGTGGCAGCCAAGCACAAGTCGTATAAGCTTTACAGGACGTATATCTCACCGCTTATCATGCAAGCTGTGGATATTCCGGTTTCAATCGTGATGATTATTATTTGGAGTTGTATCAACTACTGGTAAGTTCCAGTATGGAAGAGCGATAAAGAATTCATTAGTATTGAGTCTGCTTTTCTGGGCAATAGGATGGTCGGCTTGAAGGCTACTGCTGGAGCATTCTTCTCCTACATGGCGTTCCTCTTTGCCGCTAACCAAGCCTTTGGTGGGATGGTGCGCATCGTAGCCTCTTTGGCACCAAACCTGGAAGCCGCGACGCAAATCAACGGTATCTTCCTTCTATTCTTCATTCTATATACCGGATATATCATTCCGTATCCCTCGATGCAACCGGTCTTGAAGTACATCTTTTGGATCAACCCCCTTGCGTACGGTCTAAGAGCGCTATTGGAAAACGAGTTTGACGGACAGCAAATTAATTGTGACGGTGCATTCTTACCTCCATATCCCAATGTTCCTGATGCAAACAAGGGATGTGCTATGAAGGGTTCCGTCCCTGGCCAGCCGTACGTGGACGGTATGGCCTACCTTCGGGAGAGCTTTGGATACGGCGCCTACAACCGCTGGTTCAATTTTCTGATTCTGATGGGATTCTGGGTCGTGATTATTTTTGGAATGATGGCTGCAAACAAGTATGTTGACTATTCTCCCCGATCTTACTCGATCAACATGTGGAAAAAGGCCAAGGACCTTGCCGGCCGTCCGGGACGGAAACACAAGGGGGCGACACAGCAGCAAAATGGTCCTGCAGATTTGGAGCGCGGACCGGATGGTTCTTCTGTACCCACCTCTGGGGACCCAAACAGCGCCGAGCGCACCGCCGCAAAGGTTGGAGGAATAATCAGAGCCGAGGCTTTCACATGGAAACATATCAATTATACTGTTCCTACCAAAGATGGACCGAAACAATTGCTGAACGATGTGTCTGGTTATGTGCGCCCGGGAGAATTGACCGCATTGATGGGATCGTCCGGTGCGGGTAAAACAACCCTCATTGACGCAATCACCCAGCGTAAGACAATTGGCAAACTTGAGGGGCAGATTTACGTTGGCACACATCCTCAGGACAATCTTTTCAAGAAGAACACTGCTTACTGTGAGCAAATGGATGTGCATAATCCGGGTACAAGTGTTAGAGAAGCTCTCCGGTTTTCCGCCAGATTGCGTCAAGAACATTCGGTGCCTCTGGAGGAAAAGTATGCGTTCGTCGAGACTGTCATTGGGCTTTTAGAGCTGGAGCCCATTGCAGACGCCGTGATCGGTGACTCTGCAACCGGTGTCGGTATCTCCAACGAGCAGCGAAAACGAGTTACTATTGGTGTCGAGCTCGTTGCCAAGCCGAAAATTCTCTTCTTGGATGAACCAACGTCTGGTCTGGACTCGCAAGCCGCTTTCAACATTATTCGTTTGCTCCGCAACCTTGCCAACAGTGGCCAAGCCATCCTGTGTACCATCCACCAACCGAGTGCGGTTCTCTTTGAACAGTTCGACAGTCTCCTCCTTCTTGCCCGCGGCGGGCGCGTAGTCTATTTTGGCGAACTCGGTCAAGATTGCGAAAAGATTACTGGTTATTTTGAAAGCCAAGGCGCTCCACCATGTCCACCCACCGCAAACGTAGCCGAATACATGTTGGATGTCATTGGGGCAGGAACAGCTCGTCGGGATGCAACAAGAGATTGGCCAGAGCTGTGGAAGGAGAATCCACGATTCCAACAGAATCTAGACAAGATTGATGAAATCCGTGGTGTGGGTGATACTGGAGCAAAAGACGTATCGCAAGCGGTGCATTTGAGGGGAAAAGCCAAAAGGGAACAGTTTGCTGCGCCATTTTCGACCCAGTTGGGCGTTGTTTGGAAGAGGATGCTGATATCATATTGGAGAAAGTGAGTATCGCTTATGGCCCTGTGACACGAGTCCGTGTGTTGAACTCATGTTTTTTTTTTGTTTTGTTTAGCCCGGAGTACAATTATGGACGAGTGCTCTCTCAAATCATGGCTGCTCTTCTCATTGGATTCACCTTCTTCCAATTGACCAACTCTGTAACGGACATGCAGAATAAAGTCTTTGCCATCTTCATGGCTATGACGATTGGTGCCTTATTGATCAGTGAGTTTCCGTGTTCTCCCTTAATGTTATCTGCTATGGCAACGCTGATTGGTTTTTCATAAGATTTGGTACAGCCGAACTATATTCGCAACAGGTCCTGGTTTACGCGAGAAGCGGCTGCAGGCTTTTATGACTGGAAAGCCTTTGCACTATCTATTACAACCGCTGAGATCCCCTTTGCTCTCCTTGCTGCAACGTGTTTCTTTGTGATCTTCTACTTCTTGGCTGGGGTATGTTTTTACACGCTGTGGAATTGGCTGACATGTCATTTTCGATACTAAATAGTCCGGTTTTATCTCTGTAGTTGAACGGAGATTCTTCCCGTGCCTTTTACTTTTGGCTCATTTACGTTGTGTTCAACTTCTTTGGCGTTTCGCTTGGACAAATGATTGCCGCCGTGTCTCCCACCCTGCAGTTTGCTGCCGTTTTGAATCCATTCTTCTTGTCGATGCAAATGCTTTTCTGTGGAGTAACCAGTACGTTGATATCTGCCACATGTGTTTTGACGTCTGACGCACTCTTAGTAATTGATCTGTAAACCAACAGTAACATACGCGGCGATGCCCAAATTCTGGCGTTCTTGGCTCTACCACATCGATCCTTTCCGCTACTTTGTGGAAGGCGTAATTGGAAATGAACTTGGCGGGGTACCAGTAACTTGCGAAGGAAACGAAGTGACCATCATCTATCCTCCTTCCGGCCAGACGTGCAGCCAATATTTCCAACCCTTCTTCCAGGCGGGTGGTCCTGGCCAATTGCGCGATCCCTCTTCCAGCAGTGTCTGCGAGTACTGCATGTATGCTGTGGGTGACCAGTTTGTCGAACGGCTCGGTTGGTCTTTTGACAACCGATGGAGGAACTTTGGGATTTTGTGTGGGTTCTGGGCTTTCAATATTGTTGCCGTTGCCCTTTTGGTGAGACTATATAGGACTGGGCGCTAAAGGACATGCTACATATTATCTAGACCACACTTTTTACTTGCCACAATAATATTATTTCTTTCGGAGGTTCAGTTCGCAGCAATACAGTAGTTCTTTAATGGATAATCTGTCTGAGCGAGGCTTATCCCAGTTGACCATCACGTGATGAGCTCCCAAATGACAATCCTCCCTCACCTCAAAGTGATCTGCCCAGCTGCCATCAGATCTACGAGTGCCTGCTCCGCTTGTTCAGATATATTCTGACATTATGGGGAGTCGGGAGGGACCTGCTGTTGAGGAAGTTGAGGGCGAGCCTGTCGCTCAGACGGTAAGTACTGCGAAGAGTTGTGCATGGCTGGCAAACGAAACGAGCTGCAGACAAGTAGTCAGTCATCTTGAGACGGTTCCCTGCTCTATACTGGTACCAGACGCATTTGGGAGGGAGGGGATAGCGACACGAGATGCTCCCTCGCGCGGATCTCATGCATGTCTCGAATGAAAACTACAGTCTGATTGACATAATTTGTCCCCCACCTGCAGTGGCTCCAGTTTAAACCCTTGCAGCTGGACGCAAGGCTCAAGGTATCTGATCCACTTGATGTTGGCGACTATCCGTCTCTCTTGGCAGTATCCTCGCGATATGGATATGCTGTATTCGGGACCACCAAAGGTTGTAGAACTTTGCTCGCACTTGCTGAATCCATTCCTCTGACATGAGAGTTGGTCGTAGGATATACCTTTGTTCGTGTCAAGGACGTCCGAGCCTCGCTGAATAGTGCGGCAAAGGGATCGGTAGTACCTATTAAGAATGCAGTGGAAGTGGAGATACCCGATGATGTTGTTACCCGCATCATACTGGACACGACCGAGTTGATGGTCATTGTTTATACCCGGGCAGGGAAGATCCTTCTCTATGCTGTACCTGGATTGTTGGAAGGAGTAAGGATCTGTATTTGGAGCTGATATATTCTATCGATCTCACGCTTCTTTGAAATATTGTTTTGTAGGAAAACAGGGCCACATCGACTTTTGACTTGGGGTCCAATGTTCTTGATTTGCGAATGAATCCGGGTGCATTTCCGAAAGCTGCTGCAGCATTACTGGAAGACGGATCTGTATCCCTCCTTACTTTGGAACAGGATGGGAAGATTACAAGGAGTCCCTTGGTCAGCGATGCTTGTTCGAGTAAGTTTGAGAGCGTTGTTTATCGATCCTCAAAGCACCCTGTCAATGAGATTTTCTTGCAGTTTGCTGGAGTCAAAAGGGGAAGCAATTGGCCTGTGGACTCAAAGATGGCAGCGTCGTACAAGTCGCGCCTGAAGGAACGATTACGAACACCATCCCTCCTCCCCCAGCATTGGTGTCAAACTATCCCGTAAAAGGTATGCATTACTGACGTTTCCCCCCTATTTAACGGATTCTAAGCGCTTGATAGTGAGCTCTGTTCAGTGGTTGCACAAGCGGATGTTTGCTGTTATCTATCAAGCATCACAAGAAGATGCGAATGAGCCAAGTCCTTTATTCATCATTACCCAAACTCCTATAACGACGGTTTGTCTGCACTGATTGTTTGTAGTTTGATGGCTCTTTTCGTAACTTTGTTGATACTTAGGAAGGGCCTTTGAAGACAAAATATATTCAGCTTGATGAGCCATTGTTTCCAGATACGGATCGAAAGAGTCAGTATTTTACGGAGGCAATTAAATCACTGTGAGTGAAGAATTTGGATTGTGGTGTCTTTTCAAAGCCCTGACAGCATGCGTACAAAGATGTTCAGATATACCACTGCTCCTTGCCATTGCGAACGCCTACTCTACTGACATAGCCTTTGCCGGCGCAGCTGATGCCACATCCAGCCAATTCGGGAATTTCATCCTAGAGGAAGGATCAGGCATCATGCTTCCACTGGACGAAAACGAGGAAAATACGTGGGTGGTGGGAATGGGAATCGACTTCACCAGCGATGAGCCCGTTCCGGCGCCAACACCGGACCGACAACCATCGCCCTCTGTTCCCATTTTATTGGTTTATACAAATGCGGGAGAGCTAGCGGCATACCATTGCCTGGATGTACAGGCTGCCGACAAGGGGGACAGATGCACGACGATGCGCACCGTTGAAGCCTTACCTACACGAGACGCGGCCGGCGCTGTTGGCCTTGCACAAAGCGAAGGTCAATCACAGTCAACTGAGGCGAAAAAATTAGTGACACAGGGGATACGACTCCCGGAGACAGGAGATCTGTCCTCGGGTACTCCAACACCTAAGGCGTCGTCCTTTGGAGGATTCTTCCAACCTCAAGCGCAAGTGCAGAAAGGTGCCCCTGCTCAACCTGCTTTTACAGGCTTTGGCACGCCTCCTGTGCCGGCTACAAGTGTTGATGCAACAAAGGCAACTGCTGGATTCGGGTTTGGGAATGGTAGGTTGGGCGCTCCGGTGACTGCTGAGGGGTCTCCCGGGTTAACAGCAAAGCCTGCAGCAAGTGATGTCTCCTCTGGAGTGACAGAGAAGGCATCATCGGTGAAGCCTGCATCGATAGGGTTTGGGTTTCCTTCTGCGTCGGGATTTGGCACGATGACAAGTGCACCACAACCTGCTTCGACTGGGTTTGGATTCCCTTCAGCATCGACCGGGCTTGGTACGACAACGACAACGACACCGACAACTACACAGCCCGCATCAGCAGGGTTTGCATTCTCATCCGTATCAGCAGACGGTACCGTGACGCCACCCGCAACACAGCCTCCATCGAAAGTGTTTGCATTCCCTTCTGCGTCCACAGGATCAGGCACCGCGACAGTTACAACACCACCTGCATCGAAAGGATTTGGATTCCCTTCTGCATCGGCAGGATTGGGTGCCATTACAACCACGCAACAACCTGGATCGACAGGACTTGAATTCCCCTCTGCATCACTAGGACAGACCCCGACGACAACCACGCAGAAGCCTGGCTTAACCGGATTTGAGTTTCCTTCTGCATCCTCGGCCAGTACGGCGGCGACAACACAACAGCCCGCATTGGGGGGTTTTGCATTTCCTCCTGTGTCTGCAGGGGGTAATCTCACGATGTCAAAGCAAACCGCAGCCGCTGGACTGAACAAGGCTGGACCCACAGCACCAGCTCCTATGGTTACCTCATCAAAACCGGCCACCACGTTTCCTGCATTCTCAGCCGCCGGCGCTTCGTCTGCAAGTAACATTTTAGGAGGATCCAAGCCGACTACATCCGCATCTACCGGTGGTGTTTTTGTGCCCCAGATGGGAGATTGGACGGCAAAGAAATCTGGTGAACAGAAAGCGGAGTCTTCAGCCAAAAATGTTTCTAAACAAGTGCATTTTGCGACTCCACCTCAATCGACGGCCGTCTCAAAAACAGTGGAATTGCTCGACAGTGATAAGATAGAGGTTTGTAGGAGAATCATATTGTGGACTCCTTCAACGGATAATTGAGCAAATCTCGCTGTAGATTGTCCATAAAAAGTTTGAGGATCTATACAAATCCTTCTCCGCGGAAATGGAAACTGTAAGTCTCCATGCCTGAGACATGACCGCGAGCAACCTAGTTAACCACTCTTGTAGTTTCGAAAAGCCCTTCAATCCAGCGGACAAGCTGTTAAAACGGCTTCGCAGAGCGCACCAGACGTGGATTTGAGCGATCCAGCAAATTGGACTATGGCGGATCTTCCCACGCTTTTGACTGACACCCATACGATAATGAAGCGGATCGAAGTCCTAAGATCCGAGGTGGAAGCTGCACACAAGAAGGAAACGACCCTTGCCGATGGCATTCCTTATGGTATGGGTCATTCATGATTTCTCCTGCACGATTTTCGTATATCCTCATGTTCCCTGACAGACGAGGCCCTCGCAAACGAGTGTCAAAGGTTGATTGATATGTTTAATGAGCAAGGCGGTCCGGACGTTATTCATGATGCGCCGCTGGGACTGGAGGATCAGGAATTGAAGGAAAAGCTTTGGAATCGGAAAAGGGTATGTACGAGGTGTTATGTATCCCCTTCGAAGGTTTTCACTGATAACGTTCCCCAGGCGGTGGACAGGACTTTGCAGCAGATTACAAATCGGTTGGAGAGATTGAAGATTAAAGATAAACGCCAGGCTTCCACGCAGGAGATAAAGTGAGTGTCGCCTGAATCGTGAGCAGCGATCCGAAGACTTTTGCTTGATGTCGGTTCTAATGAATTTGCAGGGGTTATGACTGGGCAACCATTTGCCAGACCACACACCGCGTCACCGAATCGACCATTTCAACAGCGCACGTATTGGAGCATCTAGAACAATCACTCGCACCACTCATGTCAAAACTCGCTCTGACACCCGCACGCAAGTCCATACCAAAACCTGTCACTCCACGCAAAGGCCGCGCGTTCGGACTGTATGACTCTGACTCGGACAGCGAAGAAAACGAGAAGGAAATCATCGTCCACGTTCCTGCTACCGTTTTTCGTAGGACGCGTTTCCATAGAATATTCAAAGATGTGCTACAATCATCTACCTCCCAACTTCATATCAACCGTCGAGCCTTCCATGATGAAAAAGAACGCCGCATGAAGGATCCGGAGGCCGTCGAGAAAGCACGTGCAGCCATGGTATCCCCGCCAAAGGAGAACGAGCCGACGGCCCCGCCACAAAAGTTTTGGGATATCATTCAGAAAATTAATATGGAGATGGACTTTAAGGAGGAAGAATCAGCATCTCCAGAGGTGGAAGAACCGGACGAAAAAGGAACTGTTTCTTTGAAGTTGGAAGAGGCTGAGGATGAAGAGTCAGTCGATGTTGCAGAGGAAGTCGAAGATGTAGACCAATCGCCCGTCCCTCAAGAGTCGAGCCCGATGTTTGGGCAACCATCAATTGTGAGCAGACCAAAGCCAGAAACAAAGCTAAACCAACCTGCCTCCCTTTTTTCCATCAAGCCTACCACTGCTGGACCTTCCTTTGGGTTCACTTTTCCAGGTGGTAGAGCAAAGGAGCAGACCCCTTCAGATACAGCGGAATCCTCAGGCGAGAGCCTCGCAGAACCTGCTTTTGCTGTCGAAACTGAGGAGATTGCCAGCGAGGACGACGATGGTGTGTTGCAGGGTGAAGAAAACGAAGAGGATGCGGCCGCGGACGAAGAAGACCAAAATGTGGGCGACCGACAGCCCAAAGTCAAGGATGAGATACCTCTCTTCAAGTCCTTTTCCATATTAGCAGAACCTCCAAGACCGAAGGTTGAAGTTGCGGAACCGCAAGTATCAAAACGCGCAAGGGAAGAACCGCTCTCGTCGACACCAGAACCGGAATTGAAGGATCAAAGACTTTTGTTCGGTGGTCTACAGAAGCCCGTCGTGCCCGTAACGAAAGCTGCATTTCCAAGTCCTGTGCTGGACCAAACTGAGGCGAATATCGGCTCGACAAAGCCGCACCAGTCCCTGTTTGGATCTGCAAAAACGACATTTGCGCCCGTAACTGAGCCTGTGGAAGAAACACCTACACCTGCTCCGGCTGAAGCGCACGAACGGCGAGCCGTGACACCAAATCCCGAAGGACAGGAAAAGAAACCTTTATTTGGGTTCCTAAATGCACCTGGAACTGGACTTGAATCTGCTGGACAAAATCCGGCAACGGAGCGCGGAGAACAAGCAGAAGATCAAGGGAATGAATCTCAATTGCAGCCGGAGGATCAGACTGAGATAGAAGAAGCTGCTGAACAAGTGGGTGAAGAAGAACCGAAGGCAGCCGTCACCGAGGCGGAGGTACTCGATCAACAGCAGGAACAAGTGGTCGATACGGAGCAGTCTACAGAAGAGCAGCCTACAGAAGGGCCTGCAAAAGAACCTACAGAAGTGCCTGTAGAGGAAACACCACAGGAACCTCCTTCAAAACAGCCCACAGAGGAGGCAATCGATAAAGTTGCAAAGAGCGGTGCAGCTGAACCAGCAATCAAAGTATCCACAGAAGTGCCAGCGGCCACTGCCAGCCCACAGACGAGTCAGGCTGAACCAGCAGCAGACACAGGAACCCCTGCGGAAGAAGATGGCATGGAAGTTGAAGATGGTCAGTTGGCTGATGCCTTTGGGTCTGGGTTTGGGTCTTTGGGCGGAGCTGCCAGTGAGAAAGGTGACCAAAGGAAATCCTATATTGCATTAGGAGTTTTTGATATTAATATGATGTATCTTAGCAGCCAGTGGGTTCGGTGCATTCGGCGGACTCGGACAGTCGACCACTTCTCAGAAGGCTACTACGGCCAGCTCGTTCGGAGCGGGGACAGCCGGTCAAACGGGTGCATTTGGAGGAGGTTTCGGAACTGCCACAACCGCCGCACCTGCGTTCGGAACAGGAACAACCAGTCAACCTAGCGCATTTGGAGGAGGGTTCGGAACTGCTACAACTGCAGCACCCGCTTTTGGAACAGGAGCAGCCAGTCAACCCACTGCATTTGGCTCGACTGCGACCACGACGCCTAGCGCTTTCGGAGGGGGAGGCTTTGGAGTTGTCACAACAACAGCGCCGAGTGCTTTCGGAGCAGGCAGCGCAACGACGTCTGCTCCGTTCGGAACAGGGTCTGGAACAGGTGCTTTCGGAGCCAATACAACATCCACCGGCGGCTTTGGAACCGGAGCTTTCGGCTCATCGCAAGGATTTGGACAAACCTCTGCATGGGGAACAGCGAATAGTACGGCTGCTCCCGCTTTTGGGCAAAGTACGACTACAAGTAATAAGCCTGATGAGAGTGCCAGAGCAGCGTTTGGTGGCTACTTTCACGGAATCGGACAGAGGTCTGATTTTGGCGAGATTACTCGGAATCAGTCAGCCATGTTGGCCAGCTTACAGCAACAATCAGGGTAAGTTTTTCCAAGTGTTCTTTTTTCGGCATTGTTGAAAGTTTCACTGACTTTTTGTTTTTTGGAAAAGGAGTGGATTTTCTTCTTATGCGAGTCGGCCGTCTGGGTTTGCTGCTTTTGCTCAGCAACCCCAACAACAACAGTCTGGTTTCGGGCAGCCAAGGTAGGCAATTCGTTTGCATTTATATTGATGATGGACACGCTGTTGACATTATTTTCTTTTGCAGTTCTGGCTTTGGTGGTGGCTTTACACAGGCAGCCCCAACTGATGAGGCCGCGTCCATATTTGGATCACAACCTTCCTCTGGTGGATTTGGATCAGGCGGTGGACCACCTGCTTTTGGACAAGCACCTCAGACAAATGAAGCGGCCGCCTTGTTTGGTGGAGGGCAGCCTCAGCAGCCTGCTAGTGGGTTTGGAAGCTTTGGGCAGCAAACACAAGAGGCCGCGTCATTATTTGGTTCGGCGCCGTCTGGTGGTGGGTTTGGAAGGTATGTTACTGTTCAGTGCATAGTTTTCAGCCGTCTCTATGCTGACATTCCTTGGTCTACAAAGCTTTGGCAGATAAAAGTTTCAAACAAGACTAGTTGTTGAAGAGTCAGTGCAAGACATGGGGGAGCTGTGTACATATAATATATTTTACTATTTGGCTCGACGATCATTCGTGATAGCACCCATCCCCGCTGCGCCTGGTTGCTGTAAACTTGGCAGTTCCGGTCATCTCATCCTTGATTCCATTACCGCTACACACTTGAGCACCTATCCTTGTCGTGTTTACGCCGGCAGCCTCTTACTGTGCGTTATGCGGAACCTTCGCTGTTTCTTTAACCAAGAGCGGTAATCCGCCACGGAATTGATCTTTTCTCCGTAATAGTCTGGCATTCCCGACTGTGATCCGGGAATAGGTACCACCGAGGCAATTTCCTTGGGACGGTGTCGTTGAATCCGATGAAAGAATTCGCGATCGCGCAAGTCTAGCGCTTTGAGGGTTTCTCTGAAGTGGTTGAAACGAGACATTAGACGCAAATCAACCATCGCACCAAAAACACAAAATCAAAAGGTCCATTACCGTTTCTTTAACAACCTCCACAATTGCCCAGCCCCAACAATCCCCGTAAAACTCGCCAACCCAGCAACAGCCATAGCCCCCAAAACATAAACCAACGTCGGATCCTGCATCCCCAAAATCTGCTGTGTAGGATCAAATTCCGCTACAGTACCAAAGTAATAAGCGCCACCCAAGAACCCGCCCGTCCCTCCTGTTATCGCTCCAGCGCGTTCCCAGTTTTTGCGGGACTTGCGGAGGGAAAAGTATTCTCGCCAGGGTATTGTTGGTTGTGCATGTGTTGGGTTTGATGATGATGATGCGAGGCGGGTTGTGTGGGGGTTCATGCGGAGGATGGTTGTACGGTGGATGGTAGATAGATGGTATGTTGAGCGTAGGCCGAGCATGGTGGATCTAATGTAAACGATGAAAGTTGGTCAAGATGAGAGAGCGAGTTCTCTGAACAAGTTTGAAATTTAACCCGTTGTTGCCATGACTGCGCATTAAAGGCCAATGAGTCATCATCAACTTGTCCAAAGGCGATTTTGACTTTCAAGGCTTTTCATGTTTAGATTGTCGTTAACCTTCGTTTGGTTTTAGTTGGATTATCAGGAAGTAAGTTGGTTAATCGCTCTTGCAAACAAGACTAGGTGCAAATCAGAGGACTGTGCGGAAAGATAGCTTTTGGCGAATGACAGCCACGACAACCATGCAGATATGTCGCTCCAATAAAAAAGTATCGCAAAAAAACAAGAAAGTTCAAGATTCAACATACTCTACCCCAATTCTAATTTCTATTTCGTTATAAACAAAAAATATTCGAGTTTTCCTTTCACACATAGAATTCAAACGACACCACCACTATTTATCCAGTTCTCAACTACCACCACCAAAGGTTCATAGTATCTACCACACATTTTGTTTGATGAACCAGCATCTAGGTAAAAACGCTCTACGAACAACGTTTATCTAAAACAAGGCGACAGATGCCAACACACCGGCAACAACGGTTGCAAGGCCAACACTGACAGACTTTGCACTGCTGAAGACGGGAGAGCCAGTTGTCGAAGGCTTCTTGTCATCCTTCTTGCCACCGCTGTTGCTGGGGGTGCCCGTGGGTTCCACATAGACGGTGCTGGTGGCACGGATGGGGATTTTCTCATCGTCGCATGGGGATTCGGTGGCCACTGAGCCGGGGGCAGACTTGCCGGGATTGCCGGCGGGAGTTCCAGTGGTAGATGGCGTTGCGGTTTTGTTGTTGTCACCAGCAGGGGTTGTGACGGTACCGCCGGGAACAGGGACGGTGTTACCGGTGGGTGGGTTTTGGTTTGCACCAACAGGGCCTGACCTGTAAGGAGCAGCGTTCAAACATTGGCCGATAGGCTGAGGCTTGACTTGAAGGTTGGCACCGGCAGCCTTGATCTCCTTGAGAATCGTAACACCAACTTCTGACACAAAGGCATTGACGTCGTGCTCAAGGGAGATGAAACCTTTCTGGGGTTTGAACCAAGAGTCTTTGACACTCTTGACGATCTTGTCGCGGACGGCCGCTCCAGTGGGACCGGCAGCGTCGTGAGTGTCACGGTCAGGCTCCCGAGTCCACATAATGTTCTGGTCTGCAATTCCGGACAAGAACAAGCATTAGAATCATGTTTTCATTGCGTTATATACGCATAACGGTCACACAACTTACATCCAAGAGCGGTGGCGATAGCCCGTACACGGTCATCCACATCACCGTAAGGAGGGCGGTAGAAAGCAGGGACCTTGCCAACGGCTTCGAAAATAGCGGCTTCCGTGTACTTTAACTCGGCAACAATTTGTTCGTTGGTGAGAGACGTCAGAGGGTGGTGAGTCCAGGTGTGGATCGCAACCTCGTGACCATCGGCAATGGTGGCCTTGACCTCCTCAGGCAAACCCTTTGTTGGCGCACCCTTGAGGAAGAATGTGGCCTTTAGGTTGGCAGCCTTGAGGGCGTCACGGACATCCTTGGAGACCACTAGAGAGGAAAAAGGGACGTGGTCATGTCAGAAACTGGGGAACCAAATCCCAACAATGAGTGATTCATTTGAACACTTACTGCCACCAGGAGAGTTTTCTTTAGTGGTTGGTCCATCATCGTAGGTAAGACCCCACTGGTTGTCACCAGGGCAAGCAACGACATCTCCGGGGCGGGTAGCTAGCGTTGCGGGCCAGTAGGCACGCTTTACGGGGTCATCATTGTACTTTGGCGCTTCGGGAGTGTTTGGTTGGTAAGTCGAGGGCTTGATGGCGAGAACGTCAGCGGGGACGACAGCCTTGACGTAGGCAATAGCTTCCTGGACGAGAGGAGCTTTGATGAATTCTTCAGAGATGACCTTGGTATCGTCGTATGGTGGATAGGCTACATGTGTGTGTGGATACCATGTAAGTGACAAAAACCACCCAAAATCTTTCTAAAATGTTTTTTGCAACGTACCGGCTGGCACCTGAGGAGGGAAGGATGGAGGCTTTTGAGCATTAGCTCCAAGAAGCGTCACAAGGGCAGTGATGGCAGCAAACTTGGCGTGCATGGCAGGTTTGTCTAATGTGAACGGGATATGGGGAAAGGAGAATGGGGAAGGATGCGGCAAAGGAAGTCCTCGAGGAGGGCGAACTTTGTGTCCTTTTTATTATAAAATCGGGGTGCTGACGGGGGGAGGGGGGGGGCGAGGGAGGCCGCTAGCCAAAGTTGGGTTGCCAACAAACTCAAAACAAGCTTTCCTTTTGGCACACTAAAAGTGTGAAGTGTGACGGAAAAAACGCGCGACTAAGCTCTTGTTCAAAACCACTTGGAAGTGTGAGATTTAATTGAAACTGAGTTTAGATGAGGGGGGGAAGAGGGGAATAGAAAAACTCCAAACGGAGAATATGAAGATGTTGTGTAAAAGTGTTCCAAGTTCCAAAAGGTGAATGATCACTGTTCACTGTTGAATTTGTTTGCCTTTTCGTTGGGATGACCATCGAATTTAGTTTATTCATCAAAACAGAGACTTTTTTTTTGACATGGTTCTTGTGTTTGTTGTGCAGATCAGCTCAGCTCACTAGTATTCTGCTAGTAAAAGTGAGAAATTTGGTAAGTCGTAAACACTTTTTGAACAAAATGCGTCCGCTCTTTTCTTTATTTCCATTTCAGGCAATTTCACTGCTTGCAAGTTCCACTTCTCACTCCGAGAGACTCGGTGCGTGCAAAAAGAAACCAAATGACGAGACTTGCATCAAATACTTTTGTTAAGGTTCAAGGCCCAACCTTTCAAAGAATGGCTGTCAGAGACAAGCAACAACTTGGCAGATTCAAGTGTGGCAGTGAGCAAGGTCCCACAGTAGTGCCGTTAGTTGGTCAAAAACCCTCAGTTTTGAGCAAATTCCACAACGGTCAATCACAAAGGTTTGTTATCCTTTAAGTAGTTCAAGATCATTGCATTCCATCATGATACAAAAGAGCACTTTATCCAAGTAGTCAAGAACGGCAAGTGTGATTTTGCATCCATGATAAACAAAGAACACTTTATGAAGAAATCATATGACACCACGTGTTGCTTGAACAAGAAGTCGCTTTCCCCCATTTCTTTTGCCTGCACACTCCATTGCAATTGCTACTATTAACGTTCACGCAACAGAGGGTTCACTTTATAAATTTTCCTATACTCCAAATAAATAGGAAAAGAAAGGCAATGAATTCCTTCAAAGGCACCTTCAATTTCAAAAACTCCACACTATGGCAAACCCGCCTAGACGAAAATATAACACTCCGTATAGAACCCTTCGACAAAGCCATAGCCAGACTCTACTTTGTTGAAATGGCCATGCAGAGATTGCCATTCCCCACGGTTTTGCTGTCCATAATCTGACGTTGAATAGTCCCGAGCAGCCGTTCACTGGCACCTCCCAGTGTTTTGTTCTTTGCTGGTCGGATAACTATAGACTAACCTATAACGGAGTGGAGGTTTTGTTGCTTGAGAGTCAGAGGCAGTGGTCGGTTCGTGGGCATCCAACAAGGTACGTGGTTGAAAATGGTGGTGTGATTAGAACTTTGGATTCGTTATTGATTTGGTTATCCCCTGCAGACAAGTAGAGAATATGGAACTCCTGTAATGATGCTAATTGAATGTTTGGATAAACCCATCTACGTGCCTGTTCGGCCATCTCTGAAGAACCCAGCAGTGTCCAAAAGCTATGACTTTCGAGCACAAGCTGCGATCCGTTCACAAGGGTTGCCAAAAGTTGAAAAATGAAAAATAATGCAGCACATACGAAAGCGACCACGACGGGACTCGAACCCGCAACCTTTGGATCCGAAGTCCAATACGCTAGTCCATTGCGCCACGCGGCCGTATTCTAAACCATAGTGGTCAGTTTTTGATATAGGCTCGTTCAAATTCTGGACGGCTTGGGTGCGGTCACCGTTTGTTGCCTTCCGTCATAGTTACAGTTGTGTTTGCGTAGTATAGGGGCCATTTTGACGAATGGGTTATCCCGTACAGCAACTATTCACGCCATTTTCTAGGGCAAATAACCAAGTGGGGCTGTATAGCATCCGCTCGGCCATACAGTGGATATATCATTCCGTTATATTTATTTCCAGGAAATATTGGGGATGTCATGAATTTAGGGTCGGGGACAGCGCATTGAAAGGTAGCGTCTTTGATTGTTCACTGATTTGTTTCATTCGCAATTGAGTTTCGATTGGGCTCGAGTAGTACCTTGGGGGGAGAGTGTCGGAATAATCATATATGCCCAAAAGGTTTTTAACATCCTAGAGATGTGACCATGAACATCTTTTGTAGTCGTCGCATTGCCCCAATACTTTGATCCATACGATCAAAACACCTTACGGTTCATGCATTTAGAACGAGCTTGACAGGGATCTATCAGCATTGCGTGGAAGAATAGCCCCACATGTCCTTTAACAATAGCCTCTCAAGACGATAATTCCATCCATGAACAAACAGTGCGGACCAAACACTCTTCCTATCTTCCCTACCAGGAACATTCGTGAAAAAAAGTGAATCAAAAGCGGGCGTCCTAAAAGATTCGAGTCGTATAGATGGGACATGCATTGTTTACAGTCGTATTTCTTTCCAAAAGATTTGTACTCTACTGAAGTTCAAAGTGGCTAGATACGTCTTGGTTTTTCTCTCATGCATAGAATGTGCAATACGCAATGTTCCATCACATTTAATATTTGCATGGGCTGCGTTAAACACCGGGGAGAGTTTACACACGATACCAAAAGTTCATCACCCAAGACGCATATCCACTATTCCATCCCTCCGTGAGAATTAACCAAAGAGTTTGTGCCCACTGCAGGGGTCTTTCTATCCTTGAGAGTGCCGAGTTGCGCTATCAGGCTGGGCAAATGTTTCTCTCCACAAGTATGGAAAGTTCATCCTCGTCAGTTCCTTTTGCGTTGCTTTTGTGGAGAGAGTATAAGGGATACAGACCGTACGTTTTTTTTCGCACAACATGTAATGAAATGGGCATTTAAAAACCGAGTCGATTCCTACCACCCCATGCAAATAATTCAATAATGGATTCAACGACAAGGAAAGAATTTACAACTCTGGAAAGAATTTACAACTCTGAGACTCATCGAGCAGAACCGATGGTGGTGGGCCGTGTTTGGATTAGTATTGGTCCAAATGGTACGTAAAATGAACATTCACGATTTTTTGTTAAAGTGATAACTTTCCGTTTTCTTTCATAGGTATGCGCAGGTGCTCAAGTGGGTCTTGTCGCCATACACGCCCAATACAGTCCCTCACACATCTGGTAAGATCCAAGTACCGCAAACAGAACACAAGAAAAATAAAACGAGAGTTTTACTAAACAAAACACTTCCACAGCACACTCTATATAACAAATTACCACCCCACACCGACTTTCTACGTCTTTTCCGTACATTCCTCTGCATGTCTCGCCACAATCTGTTTATCCACCACAACATTCATAGTCCTCGTGGCACATCTTATCGCCAGGGGCTTGCACACGAAATACTCAAACAACGCAACAACGTATGCAATAAGGGCAACAGCACTCATCGCACCGGTCCTCTTACTCGTAGCAACAGTGGAGATCTGGAAGGGGATTCAAGCGACTTGTACAGAATTTAGGTTGCGGGATGTATCTTGTCAAGAGGTTTTTGCGGATGGGTTTTATGTGAATGGGGATTTGACGAGGGTTTATTATGTCCGTTTACGGGGGATTTATGGTGGAGTTTGGGTTGGGGTTGTTGGGAGTTTGGTTGGGGTTGGGTTGGTTGGGATGGTTGGGTATGAGGGGTGGGTTGGGAGGAGGGTGAGGTGGTGGTGAAACGTCTGCAAGTCGTTTAGGGGGCAACTATAGTTTCTTTCATGTTGTATACGATAAAAACAATAGCAGTTCAGTACGACTCGTATGCTCATGCAACGCCCAATTCACGATCTTTCCGCAAGAAGCCATCAACATTCCCAAACAACCCCGCCAAAACTCTGGCACTCTGCCCACCACCGACACACAAATCCGGTCTCCCCCGTTCCAACCCCATTTCATAAGCCTCCAAACACCCACACACATTCCGCAACGGTACACCCGCGATACGCACAACACCCTGTAAAACCGTCTCATCCTCCCGTAATAGGTCCGAATCGGAATGCAACATACGAGCAAGTCCAACGATATTCGTCGCAAGGTGTTTGGTTTTCAAATGCGTAGGATGAACGAACCGGTATGGTTTTGATATATATCGAAATCGTTTATCCAGGTTTTTATGTGTGGGTTTAAGTGATAACCCAATTCTCGGTGTTTCAATCACGAATTCCAATGGATGCACATCACGGACAAGACATTTCAATGCACACCTCTCAGCATGCAGTCCATCCAACCCACCCACCAACTCACTCACACTCGCAATTTTTCCTATACAAGCCACCATGATCGCTTCAACACATTTACAAGGTCCATTCACAACTTGATTTGTTTCCATATTCTTTATAGCGCGAATGAGGATCCCACCATGGAATCCATCTCCAAAGACAAGGTCAAGGCCCTTCCAGGATCCACCGCGGTAGGATCCGCCTTGTTGGTGAAAGTACCATGTGGAGGGTACAGTCTGTGTCGGATGGGCATGCGTGAAGGGGTCAGTGTGATGTGTATCGTTCAGGTAGAATTCTATTTCGAGGATTTGGAAAAATGTTGTGTGGGCTTGCAGGGTTGTGTGATGGAGGAGGGTGGATGCTATGCGTCGGAAATGGGTGAGGTACCATGTGTGGGGGGAGGTGGTTGGGGGTGGAGATGGGATATGGAGAATCGAGTCAAGTGGTATCGGCATTGAAATTGCCCAATCTCTTTTGGAATGTCAATGCTTGCAGTTGGGGAATTTTAGAACAGTGGCAAAGCCACGCATCTTGTCCGATTCCTTCGGATAGAGGTGGCTTACCAATAAAGGAATGTCCAGATGGGAGACGATTTAGAACACTTTTATTCCAGATTTGCATCTTGGGCTCTTTTCCAGTACGGCTGCTCCAGAAGCAATGTTGAGTTCAAGACAGCCGGATAGCTGTCCGTATTATTAGCAGGAAGCGACAGCAGTACGTTCTCCATTCGACCATAACCCCATCATTCTCATTACCGTACCCTCCTCGTTCCACGTACCTCTGTACATCAACCACCTCAACAACTTGGTCACCAAACAACCCAAAATGGACGAGTCGATCAACAGAATCACCATCAGACAACATTGGGATAATTGTCAACCCGAATCTCTCCTTTGCACACAAACCCCGTCGTGAAAACCCCTGCAATAGATGGCCTCGACTCGTACTCTGCATCAACCACCTCAACCTTTTGATCACCCAACAACCCAAAATGGGCGAGTCGATCAACAGAATTCACCATCAGACAACATTGGGTTGATTGTCCATCAACCCGAATCTTTCATTTTGCACAAATCGTTCCTAAAAACTCTGCAATGGAACAAACTTGTTTATTCGATACCCCACGAACCTCCCACTGAAGAAAATCCCCATGAAAATAATTCGTTTTGAAAGAAATTGTGCCTTTTCTTTGTAGTAAAAATCATGGTATGTTCGAAACAAAATTCATATTGGACATTTTCTCGCTCCGCTTGCTCAGCAATCAGTGTGAACACAGATCAGCAGAACATGATTTTATTTTTTCTAAAGACATGGATGAGAAACAGCATGCACAATTCCCTCAATCCAATAACAAGAACAAAAAAAAAAAAGATCAAGTCAATCACACTCAAAATCACACTCCACGTTGAATGAACATAGCGACCGGAGCCGATATCACCGCGTGGCGGTTTGTTGACAGGGTGTGTTCGCGGTGTATTTACATGGCTGCGGTCTATTTGGCATGTGTTTTGCGCAGTAGCGGCTTATTTGGATATGAGTGCGGAGGGTTCAGCCCTCCGTCCCTTTTAGAATCATAAGGTGTTTGTATGTAGGCGCTGCACCCTCCTGGCTGGATGTGTTTGTACTAAGCACACCAGGCGGGGTGTAGAGTGTGCCAAAATGGAGGAAGAGGGCTTTTGGGGTTTGATAACCCGACTTGTCCAAACAAAAACGAGTTGAAAATCGGTCTAAACCTTATACGTTTGTATTCAAAAGTTGGCGATCCCCAATAAGCTCACCCCCCTCGTGAGGTCTATATGTCGTGCACAATTGATTCATGCTCCATATTGGACGAGTATGAATGCTCACCCCCCTCGTGAGGTTCCATGTCGTGCATGGTTGATTCATTACACGTTCAAACGAATGAATACTCACTTAAACCTCGTGAGGTTCCATGTCGTGCATGGTCGATTCATGTTCAAAGGTTCTGTCAAGAGTTGGTGACAGTAGTATCATTTTGGATTTCACAAACTTAAAAGGCCAATGTTGAATAAAACATTTGGTTTACCCCATCTTTGTTACCAAACTCTCCAACTCTTTACCTGCTGACCTCCGTTGCTATTCGTTTGCACACTTTGCAAAGCACACAAGGACAGTTCACTCCACCACGTGATGACTACAGCATTGAGATTGAAAGGGCGACATTTTCACGCTTTTGGGAATTGTTGTGTTTTGGAGATGGTGGTACTTTTTTGTCACCCTCGTGTGCAATCCCCGGCCGCTGTATAGAGTTTTGTTGAGTGCACACAAAATGGAATACGAAAGTGGTTGAGCACGGTGTGTTTAGGGGCTTTTGTTTACTTTCTTTTTTCTTGTGTTGTTTTGGGTGTGTTTTTCTCGGGGGGCTTTTTATTTGTTGCTGAGGGGTGAGTTTTTGGTCCAAAAGGAAAAAAAAAAAAAAGTAAAGGAGAAAGGGGGGGGGACGCAAAACCTGTTCATGGTGGTATTTTGATGGATTGCGTCCCAAAGTTGGGCTGAGTGGGCGAGGGGGTGACGGGCGGGGTTAAAGCTGTGTCCACAGCATAAAAAGGGCGCCGAGTGGGTTTATCTCCCCCTCCATCTTGCGTCTCTCTTGTTTTGGTCTTTTATATATATTGTTCACCCTCTCTCTCGCTTTCTGTTCTTTTTTTTGTTGTTGTTGTGGCCTCCGTCTACCTCCGACTAGACACACACACACTACATTTAAAAAAGACCAATACGAAAGCATTTAAGCTACCTGCCTCCCACCTCGCAATACAATGAACAGGCTAGGGAATCTGATCGTGTGGCATTACAGCTCGACGCATTATGAGCGGTCCGAAAAGCAGCTAGAACGGGAAAAGTGGCTCATTCCGGGACTTGTGAGGTTCAACAGGTACTTTTTGATGCCGGCCGCCGTGTTGATCCAGGTAAATAAACCGTCCAACGCATTCGTCTTTTTTGTGGGTGTGTAAATGGTTAACCTACTATGTACTTATTTTAGGTGTGCTGTGGATCTCTCTACGCATGGTCCGGATACAACCTTCCTATTGAACGTGAAATCTACGGTCCAAACCTTGCCAAGGGTGTTGCCGTCGACCGAGGGCAGGCCAGTAACGTCTTTTTCGTTGCTGTGGCCGTCTTTGGTGTGACGGCTGCCCTTCTTGGACCGTGGTTGGAGAGAAATGGTCCCTTCAAGGGTGCTGTGTTGGGTACCTGTTTGTTCTACATGGGTAACTTGTTGACTGCCTTGGTATGTATTGCATCGAGTGTCCATGGGTGCGAGACTTGTAAGCATCGTATACTGATAAGCTTTTTTGTAGGGTGTGCACGTTGGTAGTCTGCCCCTTGTGTTTTTCGGCTACGGATTCGTCGGCGGCGCCGGTCTGGGCATTTCGTACATTGCCCCTGTATCTCCCCTCCAAAAGTGGTTCCCCGATTTCCGTGGTCTAGCGGCCGGTCTCGCCGTCTGCGGTTTCGGTGCCGGAAGTATCTTTTCGCCCTTTACTCAAAAGGCGCTCATTGGTGAAACCTTTGCCAACACGGGTATCAAGAACCTTGGCGTATCGCTCACGTTTGTCATTTTGGGCTCTTGCTACTTTGCCTGCATGCTGTTGGCATCCTTTGTTCTCCGCATGCCTCCACCTGGGTACTCTGTAAACGGCGTTGACATTCACACGGTCAAGGGTGCAGAGGAGCTTGACAATGCTCGCGCGGCCAGTGCGGCTCTCCCAGTGTCCAACGCCATTGAAGACAAGGTGGAAGAGGCCAAGATGGACCGCGACCATACGGTCGTCAACCTTCACAGTGTTGCCCCCGCCAAAAACGTATTCTCCATGACCTTGGCCCAAGCCCTGTCATCGATCGAGTACATTCTCATGTACATTATGTTTCTCTGCAACGAAATCACGGGTCTGCTCATTATCTCAAAGATTCAGTCCATTGTGCAAAACCAGCTTGGAAAGAACGCTACAGAGGCCGCCAACATCAACTCGATTCTTGGAGGCTGCAACCTGTTGGGTCGGCTGGTTCTTCCCACTCTTTCCGACTATTTGGGACAGCGTAAACCCCTCTTTATGCTATCTCTAGCGTGCCAAACCATCTTTTTGGCTGTCCTTCCTAAAGCGATTGGCGACAAGACCTATGGTCTCACACTCTCCTGTGCCTTTATCATTGCCTTTTTCTACGGTGGAGGCTTTGGACTTATTCCGGCCTTTTTGTCTGACCAATTTGGATCCAAGAATGTTGGAGCGACGCACGGAGTCATTTTGACCGCATGGGCAATGGCAGGAGTAGCCGGCGGACTCGTCTTTAACGCCGTGTACAAGAGCGAAGTTGCGCGTCTTGCACCCGACTTGCTGCACGCCTACGACCTCAACTTTCACTGGATCCTGGCCTTTACCAGCTTTGGTCTCTTGGTAAGCTTTTTCATTCCCACCAACCTCCGTGACCGACGCCTGCCCAAACTGGAGGGAGAGCGGATACGATTCCGATTTGTCAATGGACGCCTTGTCCGTGTATTCAAGGGATTCAAAGTGCGCATGTACAGCCGTGCTGAAGAGGATGCCGAGTGGGATGGATACCTCAAGGGAATTGCTGCCCAAGAGGAAACCATCAAAGTGTAGAGAAAAAAAGAGAGAGACAATATGTGTGTAGCGATATGCCCTCTGCATGTATTATACTTGTGTAAAAGATGTATTGTGTAAGTTTGGGGGGGGACATTTGCTGCGAATATATATATATAAAATGCTAGCGTATTTTGAAAAAGAGTAAACTTGTTTCAAACACACACATATGTAATGCAAATATAACAAGTAAAAGAGAGAATCCACAGAGAGAGAGACGAAAGATGAAAGAATGCAAATCACTCTCTCTCTCATATATCATTTCATTTACTCATATATCATTTCATTTACATTCAACGAGAGAGAAGAGAGAGAAGAGAGAGAAGAGAGAGAGAAGAGAGAGAGAGAGAGAAGAGAGAAGAGAGAAGAGAGAGAGAAAAGAGAGAGAAGAGAGAGAGAGAAGAGAGAGAGAAAAGAGAGAGAAGAGAGAGAGAGAAGAGAGAGAGAGAGGGGAAGAAGAAGAAGAAGAAAGAAGAGAAATTGCCAACACACTCTCTCACTCTAATCACACTCACATACAATTGTTTACAATTATTCACACTTGTGATTTCAACACTTTCTCTCTCTCTCTCTCTCTCTCTCTCTCTCTCTCATTCACTCATACTCTAATCACACACATTCTCACATTCACATTCATACTCTAATCGCACACACAGAGAGAGAGAGATTCATCACTCACTTGATCGCACACACTCAATTGTTGCAGTTATTCAACACTTTTAGACAAACTCACTCTACTCACACATTTCTCACTCTTCTCTTACAAGTATATACACTCTTCTCACTCTCTTTTCACTCTAATGTTCTTTTTTATTCTCTACACACGTGCATTTTCATCATTTCATGTGATTTTCATTCTTAACTAAGCAATTCTTATTCTTCTTGTTGGTTTTCACACTCGCTCCATTTCACACTCTTTTACACACACACTCTTTTCACACACACACACCATGACAGACTGCGCACAACCATGGCTATCGTATTGGATATCACATTCACTTGCATTCATTCTCGGGTCTCTTGTCTCTCTCCTCTTGATTCTCTCGGGTTTCCTCGTCTTTATTCACTGGCTTCCTTACTATGTTCTTCCCGTCAAGGCAAAGCGCTCATTCCTTCCCCCCAACCACACTACTACTACTACTACTACTAAATTACCATCACTACTACGGAAACGGCCTAGGAGGCACAAGCGACTGTCGGGTTTTGATCCTCACTTGTTTAGAAAGGGCTGGGTCCGCATTTCATCCGTTGCTCTCACTCCAGTGGAACTGCACGAGGATGGGACAGAGGTGGTTGTGCAAGAGGGTGGAACGCGACGAGTAAAGAAAAAGAGATCTTTTACACAGTCGACATTTCAAGTCTCAAAGGAAATGGTTGCTTCTGCTCAGAAATCGGCCATATCCGTCTATTCCTTGACGCGCTCAGTCTCCTCCTATCTGGTCTCGAGGTTCATGGGCCAGCCTTCTGCTGTGGCTTTACAGGGAGCAGATTCTTTCAAGACGACCACCGATACAACTACTACTACTACCACCACCACCACTACCACCACCACTCCTGTCCTACAGGAACCCCCACCGCCGCCATGGCGGAACGCTTATGGCGTCCTCAAATACAAGACATTATACCTTTATTCGAGTGAAACTCAGGAAGAATGTACAGACGTTTTGGCCCTCTCGGATTATACCGTAGAATTATACCCTCCAACCACCACAGATCTTGACATTTACCTCCGCACCCATCCCATCCGCTTGGTCTCAAAACAACACCCCGACCGCATCTTGTACATGTATTACCCCACAGGCTCGGACAAGGAAGACTGGTACATTATGCTCCGCCGCGCAACTCTGCTCCCCACTTTTGCCGACGCCGGAGCAATGTCTGCTTATCATCAAGACAGCGAACCCGTCCGCGCCTATGTTGATGCCATGAAAAAGCTCGTCAATACCCTCAGACCGGCCCTGGACCATCATCCGGGATGAACAACAACAATCAAACAATACGCTCGCAACCGCCGGGTTGAACGCCCTTGGGTCGGGGGGCCTTTGTGGAATCACGCTAACCCCCACGTCAAGAAATTGGGTCATGGGAAAAGCTGTCGGC